GAACTGGAAGAAGCCATTTAGGCAGAAGGGACAGCAAGGAGGACACAGGTTGGACAGAGGTAATGGGTGGCATCCTATTGCTGAGCCCCCACAACTGCTAGAAGGGATGGGCTTTTCCTTACACTGGGAACATTGGAAAGACACTTGAGGGCCTGCTTGTGTTGACGTAGGTTCTAAAAGAATCTCTGAAGCATCTTCAGGAATAGATTAAAGAAAGGCACAGGTAGACATAGGGATAGCAAATTAGAAGCTATTGTTAAAATTCAAGTGATAGGGCAATGGTGGCTTGGATGAGGACAGTGGCTGTAAAGGTGAGTAGTTGTAAGTAGGATGTCCTTTAAAGATGACACCCACAGATGGTCCTGATGGATGACAGCTCAGATATATATGTGGGCAAGAGTCTTGGTCTGAGCCAACAGTCAGGATGGAGTTGGTGTCACTGAGATAAGACCAGATGGGAGACGCAGGCTTTTCTCAGGGGTGGGGAGGTAGGGGCTGCAGGAGATCAGGAGCTCCATTCTGGGGATATGAAGTCTTGGTTAGTCTTAGTGGCCACTGAATATATAGCAGCTTCTGCTTTTTGGAAGGGAAAATTGGGTGAGGTGGGAAGGAATAGAGCCTTGAGGAGCCCTGGAGTTTAGAGCATGGGAAAGAAGAATCCCAGAGACAAGTACTTTGCCCAGGAGACACAGTTGATGGAGCTAGGTGGGCCCAGTGTGTTCTCTGGATGCCCAGGCCAGACCATCTAGTGCCTTGTAGGGTCTGCCCATCCATGGCAGGCCCTGAGAACATTTTCATCAAGGGAAAAAACAAACAAACAAACAAATTTAAAAAAAAACAACCAAGCTTGGTGCCTGTGGCTCAAATGGCTAAGGCACCAGCCACATACACTTAAGGTGGCGAGTTCGAATCCAGCCTGGGCCTGCCAAACAACAATGATGGCTGCAACCAAAAAATAGCCAGGCGTTGTGGCGGGTGCCTGTGGTCCCAGCTACTTGGGAGGGTGAGGTAGGAGGCTCGCTTGAGCCTAGGAGTTGGAAGTTGCTGTGAGCTGTGATGCTACAGCACTCTACCCAGGGGGACAGCTTGAGGCTCTGTCTCAAAAAAAAAAAAAAAAGCAGAAGAAAAATGATACCTGGTAGCCTCTCTAATGAAACAAAGGGGAAAAAATTCTGCTCGCCTGCTTCTTGTGAGAATTACTCAATGAGAGCCTAACCCAATGAAATTCATTTTGATGTGACGAAAATTTCCTGGACTTTCCAAGGGTTTACAATAAGACCGGGTCACATGTGTCCAGCTCTGGAACATATTAAGACATTTATATCTGTAATTTAGCCATGACATTGGCCAAGTCCAAGTTAGGAAATATTTGAGTGCCCTATTCCATGTGCAAGCAGCTAGTTGTTCAGTGGTAACTCTTGAAATAGAAGGGGGTTTTGTTGTTGTTATTGTTGTTGTTTTTTGTGTTTGTTTGAATGGAAATGTCAGAGTAGATTATAAATAAGCATGAGTAAGATTTTAAAACTGTAACCCCAAATTAAGGAAAAATGGTTACATTATGTTGGATTCTATTAGATGGATTTGAATGGAGAGTAAATATGAGAAGTCTTAAAAAGAGAGTGTTTGCCAAAAAGAGACAAGCTGACACTGGAAGATTTCTTATTAACGTGGTGGAAATTCATAGCTGATTAAAATCTCTTGCTTTATTTATTATTTAGGAACTCTTGCCTTTTTGAAGCTTAAGTTCCTACAAACTATTACATTCTGTGTTCGATGCTGTCAGAATAGTTAGAAGTCAAAATGATTTAGTTCTTTTTAAAGCAGAAGTTAGACTAGTAACCCAGTTCCAAGTATAAAAAGAAAAGCTTTACCATTACAATTTCTCTCTTTTATAGTAGACATTAAGGAAAGAAAAAAAAGCTTGGCTTTGAGGTTCAGCGAGTTTGGTTTCAACCCCAGCCACAACTGGGTGAGCTTGGTTAAGTTATTTAGCCAGTCTTATTCTTGGTTTTTTATTTTTATCTGTAAAATATGAGTGATGTTGAAAAGTACCACACATTATTGTACTTTCAACAAAAGGATTAGTTACTGAATGAATATTAAATTATTTCACAGCAATAGTTAGACTTTATGAAATGTTTATGCAAAATTTCATGATTATGATGTTAACATTCTGACTAAAACTTTAAGACTAAGAAACCTATGCACATATAGCCTAGTTTAAGGAATAAATGCTGCACTTTTTGCTTGTTTGGTTTTAAGGTAGGGTCTCACTGTGTTTCCCCGGCTATAGTGCAGTACAGTGGCATCATTATAGCTCACTGCAACCTCAACCTCCTGGGCTCAAGTGATCCTGTGCCTCAGCTTCCCAAGTAGCTAGAACTACAGGTAAGAACCATCATGCCAATCTAATGTTTAAAATATTTTTGTAGAGACAACATCTCACTCTATCGTCTGGGCTGGTCTTGAACTCTTGGCCTCTAGGGATCCTCCACCTCTGCCTCCCGGAATGCTGAGATGACAGACATGAGTCACTGAGCTGGCCTTCCCAAATTTAATACATGTTTTAAAAAGATATTTTAGGATGTGAAACATAAAACAATTCCAAGTTTGTATTATTTCATTGAACATATCTTTATCTGATGCTTACCAAATCCCAGGCAGCACTCCGAAGTTGCTGGCTCCTAAACTCTGAGATTTCATGCCAAACTCATAGCATAATCTTGATGTTAAGAGCCCCCACAAGTAGGTCAAGTTTAACAACCAGCAGACTTCATTTCTCATGGTCATTCCTTCAGTGATCAACTCAGTTACCATGAGGAACAAAGATGCTGTAGTAAACTGGCTAAAAAAACAAAAACAAAAACAAAAAATGTACCCAGAACTCCCCTTTCTTAGCCTTCCATAGTGCCAGCAGGTGGTGTGAGTCAGTGGGTGGTCTCGTCTGCAGAGACAGCCTGCTTGGGTTCAAATTCTGGCTCCACCTCTTAGTGTTATGTGACTTGGGCAAATTGCTTAACCTCTCTGTGCCGCAGTTTCCTTGTCTATAAAGAGCAAATAATAATTGTAGTACCCACCCCATTGAGAATGGAGGGAAATAAGTCACTCAGAACTGCATCTGGCATAGAGGAAGTTCAAGAGAAAGCTTAGCCTTTATTATTACATTAGTGAACCAGTCTGGTATTTGTCCCTTAATCTTTCTGAGAAGTGATGACTTTTAAAAATAAGTTGAGTGTACTCATAACAAGACTATAACACTATGTGTGACTAAAATCTAAAATCCAATTTCACTATTAATATTCTTTTTATGAGAGCCTGAGACCTGAGGGTTAGGGTTTTCTTTGTCAGTACCCGGGAGGTAAACTTTACAGTCACAGCCTCCTTCGATTTCCCTGAACTTCCCTGAGCTGTTTAGAAAAACTTTCTTTCTTTCTTTTTTTTTTTTACTCCAGTAAAAAAGCCCTGCTGGAACTTAAGTTTGTGGCTGCAACCGATTCGGAAATGAGACTGAGTCACATTCTGGACCATAGACAGAGCATTTCCAAACCCCATGAAGTGCTGCTGACTGCTCCTTGCTTTCGCCCCCTTCTTTGCTTTTGGAACTCTCCTCACGAAAGCTGCCAAAACTATCTAGTGTCTGCCGAATGGAGCGTCAAGAATAGCTGATCAGGCAGCCTCGAGACACCCCCTTCCCAGGTGTAAAGCTCATTTAGAACTCAAAGTGTCATAGTATCAGGGCCTTAAACAGCAAGCATTATTCATTATTTACCTTGAGAAACTGATACTGAAACAGGAAAAATGATTCGATTACTTCCTCTAATGAGATTATTCAATGTTGCCCTTGGGCCTAAATATTTATTTACTATTGCCAAGAATTCTTAGTGCATGATACATCAGCAGTTTTGGATAAGTCATAGATTTGGCTAAAAATAAAATCTCAGGATGAGTGGCGTGGCAAGTTGCAGGATGTCTTTGAGTGTCTTCCCTTTAAAATAAAAGAGACAGTGTGTCCATCCACATGAGTCGTCTACCAGGAGGGAGCTAGAAGCCCTGGACACTCTTCTAAGCTCCATTGTTGAACTGGAGTTTGCTCTCTTCTGGCCTTCAGTTGGGGTGAGCAGCATTGTCTGAAGTTTAGAATGAGAAAAGAATCCACACTTGATGGTTAGAGGAAATGTGCTTTCTTGAAATGTATTAAGAATTACTATGTTTCTTCTTACACTTATAAATTTCCATGTTGGTTCTATCCCTTCTCTGACTTTTTAAGGTGAGAAGTCATATAGTAAATGATTCTTTGCTAAAAGAAAAAAGAGGAATTTAGTTATTACAGACCTTCAACTATTCTTGCAAAATGTAGGGGGGGCTGCTTGGGAACCTACTGAGATAGGGACAAATTTTTGAGGGTTTGTGCCCTCACTTTTCTTTATTCCACAGTCACTTTAGTTGCTTTGTGTTGACTATTCGCAAGTGTATCTGTTTGTGAGTTAGGTATGTGTGCATGCTGCTGCCCGGCTCTGTGGTTTTATAATGATGGTAATTTATAGGATCTACTAAATTTTATGGTTTTAATTAAAAAAATAGAAACTCATTTTATTTCCTCTTAATTTAGCTTCTTTCAGGACATTCTTATAAGACTGGAGAAAAGTAACAGTGAAATAGCATAATCCTTGTAAGGGCTGCAAAATCCAAGGTTTCAATAGGAATAAATGCCATGTTACTTGTCTAAAACCAGCTGTTATACATATGTTTACTTACTAAAACACAATGATTGATTAGTTATCCCTGGCAATGTTGAGCAAGTAAAAATTGTGGCTGATAGGGATGTTGCTATGGTTTTCTATGATTTTTCAGTAGAGACACTGGCTACTCTGCCCAACTACAAGTCTTAAGGAGCACCATCCATTGCCCAGTGGCAGCCTTCACCACCACATGTTACTAAGTCATCTGGAATAAACTGAGAAACCAGTTACCAACTCTTGCTTTTGATTGATAAACAGAGGATGGAGCTTTGGATCTTGGCAATTCTAACAGCCCTCATACATTCCACAGTAGCTGCACCAGCTAAGTATAGTAAGTGTGGCTTTTCACTTAAAATGTCAATGTTTTAAAATTAAGGAATTCTAAGAACATTTGCCTTGTTTTAAACTGCTTGCTTCCAGTTGTTGCAGTTGAATTATAAACTAGGAAAGTCATCATTTGCTCTACAATTATCCTTCATCAATAATCAAGTAGAAGAAATTCCTCATAAGAAGTATACTATAATTTTAGTTTGACTTATTCAAATATGTCATAATTTAACATGGTGCCTACCCATAGGAGGTTATTGTAGGTGTTTGTTGACTGACATACAATTTGTTTAGACAGACATGGCTGCTTTACCACTGCTGCACTAAGAGGGATTTAGCTCCAAATAACTCATTAATATGTGGTACTTAGCAGAGCATTTCTTAAAAGATCTTAATCATTTACTTATCCTTTCCAAAAGTATCATAACCCATCTATGACCCATTTCTAAGTTTTATCCTAGAAGGAAAGACTAAGAATGTAGAAATTATGATCTTTTCAAATGGCCATTTCAAGATCGTATTAATATTTTTTATTTGCAGATCATCTATCTGGAGGCCTGGAAAATGAGGCTTTAATTGTGAGATGTCCTAAACAAAAAGGAGCTCATTACCCTGTGGATTGGTATTACTCAAAAACAAACAAAAGCATCCCCACCCATGAAAGAAATCGTGTATTTGCCTCAGGCAGAAATCTGAAGTTTCTACCAGCCAAAGTGGATGATTCTGGTATTTATACCTGCATCATCAGAAGGTATGATCCAGAAAGCCACCACAATCTTTGAGTCTCTTCCCCTTTCTTTCAAACCAATAGTTTGAGATAGCCTCGCTTTCATTCCTTCCCTTGCCTTTTCTGGAAGAGCTGAATTTATAAAGTAATCCTAATAAAAGAATACTTCTAGGAATGTCTTCAGGTTGGGGTTCAGGTGATTATGAGCTAAGTATGTGGATTTGTAATTGCAGGAATTAACTTGTAGCCTCAATAGAGAAAGGCTTAGCTTTCCTAGTGACCAAAGGAACTGAGATCAATTGCTCACTCTTGGCTAGACTTAAGAACAAACTGAAGAAAACCTAGTAACCTAGTTGTTCAGCATTATAGGAGCCTCTGTGGGTGAAAAAGGGTGGTTGCTAATGGCTTAGACCTTAGCTACAGAAGGTTGCATGAGATTGCATACCTACAAATTACTTACTCTGGATATAAATTGTTATATGTTTTGATTTTGTACTCATATTTGGCACAAAATGTCAGATGAGCTACATCAAAAGGTATGATGTGTAATTTAAGTGCCTGGGTTCTGAGCTTAGACAAGTGTCAGTTTTAAATTCACGCTCTGCCACCAGTTAGCTACTTTTCCACCACTCAGTTGCCTTATCCGTAAAATATTTATATATAATATATACTATACTGTACACCTCAAAGTATTATTGTGACTGGGAATGGTGACTTGCACCTGGGAGCTACTCGGGAGGCTAAGGCAGGAGGCTCACTAGAGCCCAGGAGTTTGGGGCTGCAAGTGAGCTATGATCTCAACATTGTACTCAAGCCTGGACAACAAAGGCAGACTTTGTTTGAAAAAAAAAGCCTATTGTGAGAATAAAATGAATCAATGTGTAAAAAGTGCTCATCATAATGACTAGTGCGCAGTAAACTCTTATTAAATACTAACTACCTTTATTATACTGGGATTGTGGCATTACAGCAGATGCAGTGCTGAGGTGTACGAAGAAATGGTGAAGGAGACATTCTTAGGGCTACTACGAGGATTATATTTTATTTTATTATTTATTTATTTATTTATTTTTTTGAGACGGAGCCTCAAGCTATCCCCCTGGGTAGAGTGCTATGGCATCACAGCTCACAGCAACCTCCAACTCCTGGGCTCAAGCAAGTCTCCTGCCTCAGCCTCCCAAGTAGCTGAGACCACAGACACCTGCCACAACGCCTGGCCATTTTTTGGTTGCAGCCATCATTGTTGTTTGGCGGGCCTGGGCTCGAGATTCGAACCCGCCACCTCAGGTGTATGTGGCTGGTGCCTTAGCCGCTTGAGCCACAGGCGCCAAGCCGATTGTATTTTATTTTAAGGGCAATAAAACAGTATTTGAAACTCTATATATTTTAACAATGATTTTTAAATAAAAATAGCCACTATATGGCAATTGTTTTAAGGAAAAAGCAATACTAAGTAAAGGCTATGGTTAGATTAAGTTATTGCACAATGCTAAGTGATTCTTTTTAATTGACTTATTTCAATAGCCCCACCGTCAATAAGACTAGATATGTGAATGTTACCATATATAAAAAACAACCAGATTGCAACGTTCCAGATTCTTTGATATATTCCACAGTATCTGGATCAGAAACAAATTCCAAAATATATTGTCCTACAATTGACCTCTACAATTGGACAGCACCTCTTGAGTGGTTCAAGGTAAAATGAAATATGTGTGTTGGGGTGAGGGGTGGGTAGATGAAACTTATGCAATTAGATACAAGGGAAGCATTACTGATTAGGGAATGGATTTTCCTATTTCAGAATTGTCAAGCTCTTCAAGGATCAAGGTACAAGGCGCACAGGTCATTTTTGGTCATTGACAAGGTGACAAGTAAGGATGCTGGTGATTACACATGTAAATTTACCCACAATGAAAATGGTATCAATTACAGAGTGTCAACAACCAGGTCACTCACAGTTCAAGGTAAGCTACTGACTGTAACAAAGGAAAATGTTTGAAAAAAGACAAAGTGGAAAAAATTGTGCCCTCTGGTTGGGTTTTGCCCTTCATCTCTTCCCTGTACTCCGTCCTGCTCCATCTTCCCTTGCACATTCTCTCCCATAATGCAAAGGGATTTTCTGAATGCACTACTGAGCACAAGAAATTTAAGGAAGATTTTTGGTCTTCTGGATATATACCTAGTAGAGGAATTATAACAAAGATATTTGCACCAGAAAGTTTATTGCAGCCCAGCTCATAATTGCCAAGTCATGGAAGAAGACCAAGTTCCCATCAACCCATGAATGGATTAATAAATTGTGGTATAGTATACCATGGAATATCATGCAGCCTTAAAAAGATGGAGACTTTATCTCTTTTATGTTTACATGGATGGAGCTGGAACATATTCTTCTTAGTAAAGTATCTTAAGAATGGAAGAAAAAGTATGCAATGTACTTAGTTCTACTATGAAACCAATATATAATCACTCACATTTCCATATGAAAGATATAACAGAACTACAGCCTGAGATGAAGGGGGAGAGAGAAGGGAGAGGGGAGGGAAGGGGAAAGAATAGGTGGAGGGAGGGTAATTGGCAGGACCACACCTATGGTACATTTTGCAAGGATACATGGCAAACCTATTATGTATAGAGTATAAATGTCTTAACACAATAATTAAAAAAGTAAGACGAAGGCTATGTTAACCAGTTTGATGTAAGCATTCCAACCAGTACATTGTACCCCATAAATGCATTAATGTATTCAGCTATGATTTAATTTAAAAAAATGAATAAAATAAAATAGCACAGCTGCTATGAATAATAAAAAGAAATTTAAGGAAGAAATTACACTACTAATCCAAAGCCATATCTATTCTTTCTTTTTTTGACCTAATTTTGAAAGACAAAGCCATCTGGATGCTAGCATAATTTTTTTTTGAATGGCAAAATAACTCTCACAAGAGCAAGAGCCACTTTCTTTTTCCTAATTTGGTCTCGGAGACTCTAAAAATAAAAGAAAAAGAATTCGATCTTTAATATAACTCATTGGACTAAATGTTTAATAGGAAACTTTCTGATGGGGTACAATGGCACATACAAATATTGTTGAGTAGTTTGGAATCCTGGCTTAGATCACTTTCTACATCATCAATGACCAAGTAGTTCGCTTCCTTCTAAATTTTGTTTTACAAATTTATTTCATATTTTATAGAAGTTTGCTTAGGAGAAAGACTTCTCAATCATAGTTTGTGAAATCTACACAGCTTGATCTACAGATGGAGATGAAGTAACAACTTTACATATAGAAGTTCCTCTAGGCCAAAGCAATTTTGGTGAAAATTTTTTGTTTGGAGTTTTTCAGTGCTTGCCTGCTGTCAACATCACTAGACTATATTCCTGTTAGCGGCTTTCACTATTTAACATCAAGGACTCCCCCAACCCCCCAGTGATCCTTATTCACACTGTCTTGAGGAAAATGAGCAGTTAAGGGTGGAGGATTGCAGAAGGGCTCTAAAAGACATCCCCTTCTCTGTTCTGGGCTCAGTGGCCACAGGAATTAGAATTCCTTAAAAAGAAGAGACTTGTTTTACAAGAGGGGCCACAGTGGTGCAGAACTTTGAGGAGTATGGACTCACACATGAAATGGATCTTTTGAAATCTTCTCTGTAATTTTATGCTTATTCTGTAGAATTGGGGTCTTCTAATAATTACTAGGTCTTGCAATTAATATAATGGGTTGGATGGGCATTTGTCTTAGTTGATAGAGAAGAGATTAGAGAGTAGGCAGTGAGAAAATGTTACTTAAATATTTTTGTATCATTTGTATGTGGGTATTTGTTTCCATGGATTATTCTCAGAAGAATTTGAGGAATGTTGCTATAAAAAAGGATAGAAATATAAATATATGAGCTTTATATTGATGACCATCCAATGCTGTCTTAATATTTAGATTCTTCTTTTTTTTTTTTTGGTCTTTAGATGATAAAGCCTTTTCTTCATTTCCAATTATTAGAGCTCCTACATACAATGAAACAAAGGAAGTGAAAATTGGTAAGAAAACTTTAAGAATGGTCTAAATATTACCTGAAAAATCCTTCCTATGTCCCCTGGTCTGGGCACGTAGAAGATTAAGAGAGGGGACACCTGGGGAAGCACCTACCCCAACTACTGAATACTAGAAACCTGGGCGTAGTGAAATGCAGCACTTACATGCGATTTATAATTCATGGTGCTTTCATGTGTGCATTTTATTTTATCCTCTTCTTCTATGGGATCTTTAGAAGCTGGAGAGATCTTTCCGGAGAATGGTAGCTGGGCTGGGTAAAATATATTTGCCTCTAAGAGTAGAGCTTATGAAAGATAAAGAAAATGGAGAGGAGAAGAAAGGAGTGGAAGAGAGCAGTCAAAACCCCCCACCAATTTCAAGTAAAGGGCAATCCTACATTACAATGTGGGGTCTGTGAAGCCTGAGTCATTTGCCAGATTGACTTTCCCCATGGGTGAGAGGGTCATGGGGGCTGAGCTTCAAACCTAACTGAGTGAAATGAAGGTAGTGAGAGAGGGGAAGCGGCCAAGGGGGGGGGGCACAGAAAGGACTGAGAGAGACGAAGGTGCCAGAGATGAGGGAGGGAAATCATCACGAGGCATGCACCAAGTGTTTACTGAACGTTTTTGCACATTAAATGAAATTAAATACTAGTCTCCTAATTTAATGTTACTGGTGAATTCCTTCACTTTTCATCTAGGAGAAACAGTGAACATAACTTGCTTTGCCTGCTTTGGGGGAGGCGCTCAGTTCTTGGCTGTTGTCCTTTGGCAGCTTAATGGAAGCAAAGTTAAGGACTTTGGTGAAGCAAGAATTCAAGAGGAGGAGGGACAGAATCAAAGGTATTTGTGTATGGAAGTGAAAACGTCTCCTTCCTCCCACACAGTTTACACCTGCAAAGCAAGCATTCCAAATAACAAGTTTCTTTCTTAGTTCCAGCAATGAGATGACTTGTCTAAGCATGGTGTTAAGGATAGCCGATGTGAAGGAAGAGGACTTGTCACTGACATATGACTGTCTGGCCCTGAATCTGCATGGCGTGAAAAGACACCCCATAAGACTAAGTAGGAAAAATCCAAGTAAGGAGTGTTCCTGAGGCTTTGGTCACCTGAGTTTGCTGTGTCAACTTTAAGCTTAAGGAACGATATATTGGGAAGACAATGGAAATGGCCTGTCTTGTGAAATGTCCCCCCTTGAGGACACTGGCTCTGTGCCATCTGGTCTTCCCAGAACGTTTCTGCAGGCTGGGAATCTTCTCTGCTGCTTTACTTCCTCCTCTTCGTCCTTGTCCTCTGTCCGTTCCTCTTGCAAACTCAGCCACTTCTTTGGGGTCATCCTTCTGTTTTCTTGAGCACCATCCGTTGCGTGAAAGAAAACACACCAGCTAAACTGTAAACATGCCCTTTTATGTTCCTTTATATATTTTACAATCTGTTATAAACATGTTTCCTTTTATAGATCGTTTTGATCATAGTGAACACACATTTGGTTAGTAACGATGGCAAAATGGACAAAAAGGGCAATGTTTAACTACTGACATTTCAGCAAGAAAATCTTAGATGCTACTTTTTAAGACATGCCTTATCATCCTTAAACTTTTTAAAGTATTACATTTGGGTGGCTCATGGAAAGTCTGGTAGCTCAGCCCATTTCTTTACTGCATGTTTTATTCAACGTGTCATCCAGGTACCACCTTTTCAGGGGAGCCTTCCGTGACCACCAGTTTGGGGTACACGTATCTTCCATGCTCTCCTCCAGCAACCTGTCTCGGTCATTGCCCCAGTACTTGCCTTACCAAAAGCTGTTTGACAGTCTGCTTAACTTGACTGTGAGCTCTGTGAGGGCAGGGGTGCAGCTCACTCACCTTTGGGTCCTCAGGCTATGGAGTAGCACCTAGCACATAGCAAGGGCTCAATGAATATTCGTTGAGTGGATCAATGAATGCACAAGGTTATCAATTAAAGTACTTCTTGTACATTTGTACTTCTCTATTTACAAGGCTTAATCATTCAACAAAACACTATTTTATATTTATGTTTGGTAAACTGAATCACTTTCCGCATAAATCAGAAAGACAAGCTGTCTATAGCTTCCCTGTATTTTTATCTGAATTTTAGCCTGCTTTTGATGACATCATTATCATTTGACACAATGAAATCTGATAATATGAAATTCACTGATCTTTAATGGATTAATTTCAGATAGTATGTAACCTTTTAAAAGGCAACATTCTCTTTTATAAGAAATGGGCAGCATCACAAACAACCAAGGAGGGTGGAGAGAGTGATCCCTCCCACTTACAGGCAACATTAATGTGTATGATATTTCAGAACAGCAATAGAGTGGTCCCCAAGTCACCACACCCAATGTTCAATAGCATCAGTGATCAAATACTCCTCCCACAGAAGCAGACTGATTCTGCCACTGACTTCCTTTGTGTGTCTCTGAATGCATGTTGCCTCGGAAATAGCTTTACATGTCTTTCATTCCTGAGCACATCCTGTTTCTTATAGGAAGTCTTCTTTTGCTGTACAAAAAGGAGAGAAAAATACATTGGAACCTCTGTAAGGAGACTACTCAAGGAACTGAGTAACAAACTGGCCAACATACAGAGGTGATCAACATAAGGAACTAGGCCTACTGTACTGATCCGTACATGCAGTGCTCCTCTAGTCTCTGAAAATTAGGTCAACATAAGGAAGTGGTCAATGTAGGGAGGTGGTCAACTATGGAGGTTCACTACTGTGCATTTTAACACTTGTCACTCCTTAGTAGCTGTACAACTACATGGAAATTATTTAATGTACTTGTCAAATAGCCAAAGATGGTGTTAAACTCCAAATTCATACGGATATGGAGGGTGTGGCCCAGATTCATTTGTGAAAAACACACAGGAAACAACAAGATGACAAAGGATTAGGGGTGCAAGAAAGCAGGCGACCGAGCTGACGTGGTTGTGGCAGGTCTCCGCTTGAGGTAGTGTGTGGGATTTTTTTGTTTCAAATTTTGATTTCCACCCCCAATGTGTAAGTTTTTACAAAAAAACCAGAATCATGACTTGTGTAGATCATTTAGCATGATGTCATGTTCTGTAGGCCATCAGGATTCTGCCATTGATAACTGTACCCAACCCCCATGCCGGCTGGGCACCTGTCAAGGTGTTGTGTGAAGGCCATGCTTGGGGCCGAGGTGGGCACGGTACAGCCTGGAGTCATCCATCTGTTCTCCCCTCTAACTACCCTTGCCTCCATATCTTCATGCTCTGTTTGCATTATTGGGATGAATGTTCTCCAGTTACCTGGGTATTGGAATTATTTTCATGTTACAGGTATTTGATGGTTTTGTTCTTTCTTGTTTATTTGTATTTCACCTGTTTTTCTTCAAATCAGCATGCTTACATTCCGTTTTGACAGCTGTATAAATTAAACAAAAATTGTCGTGACTGCTGTTGAATTGTCAAGATACAGTCCTTCACTTTTGAAATGGCAGCATTTTTCAAATTTGGGGGAAAAAAATCTTTAAAAACCTATGTTTCTGTATCATGAAATATTAAATAAATATTTGACACTCTTAATAATCATAGTACACATTTATTCATTATTTCCAATGGACCAGGCCTTGTCTAGTTATTTTACATTTAAGTTGTTCATTTATTCTCCCAACATTCCACAAGGGAGAGACTATGGTTATCATCTAATTTTATAGACAAGAAAACAAAGGCAAAAGTTGAGTAACTTGCCAAATACTATAGTCGTAGAGCCAGGATTCACATGCAGACAGCATTTTCCTATCTATAAGCACTTATAAGAAATTTCTAGTTTTTCTTCTTCACACGCAGAAATTATCTGCACATTTCTAAAATCATTGACCTTTAGGAAGATACTGAACTTCAACTTCCTTTAATGCCTTAGGTCAAGTTCTTTCCTCAAGTTGGAAGTGGCAGACCCTGGCATAATTACTTCACAATAATCCCCACAATAAGTATATATTCCTACCATGCATCCCAACAGGATTTTTGGAGGGCATGAACTGGAAAGGAAGCCCCCAGAAATTATTTCCTTACCATTTTTATCACTTAACCTGATGATGGTGCAGACTGTAAAGACTTCTGCCAATTTTCAGTGTTTTCACCTCACTCCCCCCAGATCACCTCGATCACTCTTGATTTCATGGTGCTGGATACTCAGCTGATAAACTCTTAGAGGTAACAGAAGTATCTGCAAATATGGGCCACTGATTTTCATGTATTGAGACTTATGATGAAAATGAAAAAGAACCACATAATCTCGTTTGAGATTCTTTTCACGTTCACCTTTAAATAGGACTGTTTCTAAGGTAAAATACTAACAATCCTAAAGAGGGAAGTTAACTGGAAATAGTCAAAAATACCACCAATGATCATAGTTCTTAGGTTCGATTTGGATGTCATCTGTTACAAACCTCTGAAGGTGGAAACTGCTGCACATGCCTTGTGTGGAGCAGGAGTGCCAGGAGATAGTTCAGTGATGACTGAGCACTGTTCACCTTCAGAGACATCCGGAGCAGGTGTAGGACCCAGAACTTAGGAATCGGACTTACCTATCAACTGACATGGCTCTTGCTCCTTTCTTGCATTCCTACACCACCAACCCCTCAGGTGTAACAAGTCCCTCAACCTGTTGCTTCTTTCTCTTTAATGTCCCCAACACAGGCTTGTTACTCCTTCCTTCCTGAAGGAATTTGAACCCTCCTCATCTCCTACCTCAAGTACAGACCCCACTGTGTTCTGAGTGCCTGCGGTCTCTTTCCACAGGAACACACCTTCCTCTATCATCACATTAGTCACCTGTGAGAACCACCTTCACTGTTAACAGCCCACTCTGCACCCCTTTGTGCCTCTTGTGACCCTCATGATAAAGCACGGTGCCCCTTAGTTGGGGTTTCAAGTCCGATCTAAACACAGCCTTGACCCACCTTTCTAATTCCGTCTTCCACTAATTCCCCAAACTGAATTACTCCAGCTTCTCAGAAAACACACTCTCATCTCTGTACTCTGGGTCATAGCATCATTCTGGCCATGGAAACATTTCATTTTGGGTTTTTTTGGGTTTTTTTGCAGTTTTTGGCCAGGGCTGGGTTTGAACCCATCACCTCTGGCATTTGGGGCCAGCGCCCCACTCCTTTGACCACAAGGCGCCGCCTGAGCATTTCATTTTTGCATCTCACTAAATCCTACCCAGTCTTCACAGACCTCCTCAGGCAGGAAGGCTCCCTTGCCCAGTCTAGCCTAGAGGGAGCTCTCTTTTTACAAGTCTCTGCTAGCAAAAATCATGCCAATACCTCCTGTCTTAGCTAAGTCTACACCTGCCTGTATGTTTCTTTCTTGCTTGTAGACTCCCCTGTGGTGCCAGGCTGATGTCTTGTACAGAAAAAAGGGCTCAATAAATGTTAATTACTGATTCTTAAAGCAGCCATGAAGATTCCAAGTGGATGTCTCTTATGTGAATCTTCTATACTTTCAACAGAGGCAGCGCCCATGTATTAGCTTATTTTATCTTGTTTTAGTACTAATAATGATGATTCTTTTCCTCCTCCTATCTTTTGGACAGTTGATGATCCAAGCATCTACTACATAGTTGCAGGATGTAGTACCTTCTTAATGCTAATCAATGCCCTGGCAATCATCCTAAAAGTGTTCTGGATTGAGCTTATTCTGCTCTGGAGAGATACAACTAGACCTTACAAAATTAGGAATGGTAAGTGGCAAATCTCAGATTTTTCTTCCAAAGAAAAAGTTCCATAATGACTGTTGGTCATTTGTCTATTCATCTCTTAATAGCTATGTTACTAGAGTCAGATTCCATTTCCCTCTCCAACATATTATCAATGATTTTTTCCTTTGAGTTTTCTCAGAGGCCATTCTCTACTCTACCCTGCGTCTCCTGGTGGTCTTTAGCTTCATCTGAACAGTTCAAATCTGTTCCCAGTAGGATTGTTGCTCCTACTAAATCCCCAATAACAGAATCTGAGCCCAAAAAGGTTGAAATATTTTGGGACACGTGTGTTGATAAAACTTTATGAAATTAAACCCAGGAATGCAATTGTTCCTGTTTTCCTGATGTGAGTAGGTTAGAAAGGTCCATCAGAAATAGGTGTATTGTACCTGAAATTCCATTCCTTGAAAGTCTTCCTTATGCACATTAAGTATGTACACAAAAGAAGACATTTCTGCCTGCTAAATATGAACATCATTTTTTTATTTGGAGGCAGATAAATGTTAGATTTTTCATGTGGTTGACTCAGTTAGGAGCTAATTGTGAAAATTTTAAATCCCTTAAAAAAATTCTATTCCCTTGGCACTATTAGCATTTAACACTTTCACCCTCCCTGAGGGAAATGTGGAGCAAACAAAAGATAAAGTTGAGGTCTCCCCAACACAGAAGAAAGCTCCTATCTGTGACCATAAACACTTCCTAACTTATTATTAATCAAGCTGGTTGGAATGATTTTAACTACACGGGGCGGGCTCTTGTCTATTTTCTGTCATTCAGTCTCACACAGTAAAAAAGAGAAAAGTGTTGGGATGAAGACTGTTGTTTCCTGATTATATTTTATGACAGGGGATGGCCACCATCATTTTTTGATTCTAGAATATTTTGGAGAATGAGATCTGTTCACCAGCAAACATAAAACATAGAAAGAAATGTCTACTAAGAGTCCAGTGAGAATTTTTAAAACCAAGTAATGCAACTGTGCTTCTTGCTTTCATTTTCAGATGGAAAGATCTATGATGCTTATGTTATCTATCCTCGGAACTACAAATCTAGTCCAGAGGGAACCAGTCCTGTGGAGTATTTTGTTCACCAGATTCTGCCTGATGTTCTTGAAAATAAATGCGGATATAACCTCTGCATTTATGGGAGAGATCTGCTACCTGGAGAAGGTAAAGCTTTCAAAATGCATCAGGAATAGAAATTTATGCTTATCACAAGGCTAAGAGCTGGGCTACCTTCTCCCTCCATTGGATAAGAAGTTGCATTTACTACTCCAGGCTGTAAGAGCAGAGGTTATAAATATTTCTCTAAAATAAGGAGACACTTATCATTTATTCTCCCCACCCCCATCATTGTCCTAGTGATGAGGTTTTCATAATAAAGTTGGTGATGTGAAGACAGAGTTCAGGGTCCTTTGCTTTGTGGCTTTAGCAGAGAATTGCTCAGTCCCCTCCTAGGATAACTCTGACATGTCTTAATTCTTTCCCTAAGATTGGTTAAGAGGAGTCAAGCATTGAAGAATTTTGTTTTGATATCCATAAGCATTAGCTAAAATATTTTAAAAGACTCAGAGAGTCTTTGCGATTTTCCTTAGATTTGTGAAACATTTGTAAGTGTATAGTCTCGCCAGAACAAATAGAACTATGGCTTCTGCTTCTTAATATTTTTAGCTAATTTTATGTACTTTTGATAATTTTATCACAATTCCAATGATTTCAGTGGTTATTTTTCTTGTCTCTCCACATGGTTATGTCCAGTACCTAAGAACGCTGCTTCTAAAGTCTTTCCTAGTTACTCAGAGATTAGGAAGGGCTTGAAATTGAATTATGCCAGGATATCACGGGCATAAACCTAACAAAGTACAGGCAGTCTTTGGGTTATGAACAAGAAAGGTTCCGTAAGTTTGTTCTTAAGTTGAATTTGTATGGAAGTTGGAACAGATACATTTACCTGTGGCCTGTAATAACCTCCATTTGTAAGTACAAGTCATATGTCAGTCAGATGTTTGCAACTTGGGGACTACCTGTAAATGTTCAGTTTAACATTTTGAATTGATGTTCTTTTTTTTTTAGTCTTTTTTTTGGGGGGGGGGGCTGGGTTTGAACTCGCCACCGCCGGTATGTGGGGCTGGCGCCCTACCCTTTTGAGCCACAGGTTGACCTATGGCCTAAATTAACATTCTTACTGCGAGGAGGGATTCAAGTGCCTATAGATTTAAAGATACAACAGTTGAATTTGATTTATTCTGGAATATCTGGGTAGTGCTAGTAGCCTCGTAATGGCTTAAGAGATTTGTCATACGTGCAGTTTAAAAGAAGGTCACATAATTCTGCTCATGAAGCTCTCTCCTCCCTCTGGTTCTCCCACTGGCCACCCCTGCAGGTAGAAATAATAGTAATGAATTGAAAATATATAGTTATAATGGTTACACAATATTGTGAGTGTAATTAATGCCAGTGTTTTCTACACTGCCGGTGAAAATGATTAAAATGTCTAAAATTAAAAAAAAAGAAATAATAGAAATGATCTCAAATGCTCGTTTCATGTTATAAGTGTGCCCAAGGCTCTGCAGGGACTCCAGCTGTTTGTGAAGTCACGCTCTGTGTCACATGTGACCACAAGCTCTTCATCTCTTCCTTCTCAGTCCATTGACTCTGTTTTTAGTCACCCCATCTCCCCAGCTGAACTCAGATGCCAGCTCTCCAATGGCCAAGTTTGTGTTGTCTTCATTGTGTGACAACACATTCGTTTGGGATGGTTTCCCACTTCCCTCCCTTAATGTGTGTCCTCTGATCTTTCCTCAACCGAAATGAAATAAAACCCAACAAAACAAGACACTTCACTCCTCCCGTAGAAAAGTTCATGTCAGGCCAATGCAGTGTGCTTATTCTCGTGCCAGTCACCTTCCTTTTACCCATCAACTCTACTCTGCGGCCACCTCCATCTGTAGGGACGATCCTTGTGGGATCTGTCACTCCTTGGCCTCTAACACAGGCTGGGATTGGCCAGCGGGAGGCCCTGGCAGGCGGTCAGAGGGTGAGCCTCCAGGTAGGGTTTCAGGGCAGCTGAGTTTTTCCTCCTGGGGCACCCCTGTCGGTCACCCGCCTCGAGCATTTTTCAGCCACCACTCTGTGAGAATATCCTGAGTGTTTCTTTATTCATGTGTTTCCTTAACATGCTTTCACTGCCTGCAGTGAGAATGGGGTGTTGCACATGCGCTTTCTAAGTCCACGCAGAGCCAAATGGAATCCCCTTGGAGTTGATGTTCCATAACTACTGACTTAGAAAAGGGATCCTGTCTTCCTTAAGATTTTTTCTATCTGGATGAAATAAGTTCCTACAGCAGAGATGATTGCAGGGTGAAGTGGATCTAGGACTTCCCTAACAACTTTGATCAGTTCAGAAGGGCAAGGCTTCCTGAGCTTGTGCTCTTTAATATGTGAGTTACAATGTAAGCAAATATTCTAAAAAGATAATATGGAGTTAATGAACCTGAGTTCTAATTCTTCCAGTAAGCAAGAGGCTAAATGTCTCTACATTCCCACTGAGCTGGAAAGACTTTGTTTTGGTTAGGGCTGATCTATTTGGGCAAAATGAGGGGACTGGAGCTGATACTGTCACTGAGAAAGGGACAAGAAGAGCAAAACGGGTTCTCTATCCAACTATGTTTCTACTTTCCTGAGTAAGTAGCTGTCAGAATCTCACACCAGATTACAAGAACAAGAAGTTTTAAATGATCAGAACATCTATGATCAAAGCATTAACCTGAAAAGAAAGAAAATGATAGGAAGTCTTACTCCATTTCTTGTGTGAGCAGATGCAGCCACTGCAGTGGAGAGCAGCATCCGACAGAGCCGGAGGCACATCTTCATCCTGACTCTTCAGGTCTCGCAGAGTAAGGAGTTTGCCTACGAGCAGGAGATCGCCCTGCACAGCGCCCTCATCCAGAACGACTCCAAGGCCATTCTCATTGAAATGGAGGCTCTGAGTGGACCAGGTGGCCTTCAGGTTGGGGAGCTTCAGGACTCCCTCAGGCATCTCATGGAAGTGCAGGGCACCATCAAGTGGAGGGAAGACCACGTTGCCAACAAGCGGTCCCTGAATTCCAAATTCTGGAAGCACGTGAGGTATCAAATGTCTGTGCCAAGCAAACCTCCCAGTTTGACTTCCCAGGGGCAATAGTGCTTGCTGGGACGAGCTCAGGTGTCTGAGTTTGTGGATCTCTGAACTCCTCCTAGCTGGGTCCCGCCCCCGGAGCAAACACTGGCAGCTGAGGCATGAGGACTAGGACTGCAGAGGTGTTCGGGCCTCAGCACTCATCTAGTAACTCTACTTCCATTTCCAGGACTCTGGGGGGATGCTGAATGCCCCCCAATTTTCCTCAATCTTCTCCCTACTCGGCATCCTCACCCCATTTCCTTCCCTTTCTCTCTTTGCTTGTGTCTCTCTATTGCAGGAGAGGATCTTTCCACTGTGCCCTTTTTCTCGCTCTTTCCATCTTTCTTGTTCTCGTTCTCTTCATTCCTTGTCAATAATCTCCCATCTGAACATTCATAATGAGCTCAGGGAATGGCCCAAAAACCTGCATTCTCATGTCAGTATTACTACTAATCTCTCTTATTTCCTCTTCTGTGTAGTGAAAGTAATGGGCATTTCACCTCCCGTACAAGGTGGTGTAAATAAAACAAATTTAGCCAAAACTCATTTGGTGTCCATCACATAAGCATGGAGAAAATGTCTATAAGTTATGAAAACACAAATAATTATTTGTAACTGGGTCAAGTTTGCCTACAGTAAAACATGGATCCCCAGTGTTCGGTTGGATGAGTTTTGACAGGTGAACACATCTGTGTAGGTACCACCGTAACCAAGATGGAAATATTTCTGTCACCCCAGGAAGCTCCATCCTGCCAATTCCCAGCCAATCTCAAACAAGGCAAACAACATTCTAATTTCTATCTCTGTGGACTAGTTTGGTTGGATATGGATATTCATATCAATCAAGTCATTCAGTTACTTCTATACAACATAACATTTTAAGGATTGATCTGTGTTTTGTAAGAGTTTGTTGCTTTGCATTGCTAAATAGCATTCCATTGTATGGCTGTACAACAGCTTCACCATTTTCCTGAATGTAAGGGTTGTTTCCCTCCTGTAACTATTATGAATATGGCTCCTGTGAACACACTTGTGGATGTATGTTTTTATTTATTTTAGGGGGCTGATACTGAGGACCATAGGGTAGGTGTATGTTTAACTTCCAGAGAAATTGACAAATTATTTTGTACACTAATTGTACCGCTTTAGATTCCCACCATCTACAGATGAAAGTTCTTTTGCTTCATCCTCTCATCAATGATTGATATAGTCAGGTTTCTTTATATTTTAGTCATTTTAATTTGTGTTAAACGAGTATCACTGTGGTCTTAATTCCCAGTTTTCTGATTATTAATGACATTGAATATTTGTTTATCTTCTTCAGTAAAGGTGAAATATTTTGTCCTATTTAAATTGTGTTTCTTTTTATATTTTTGGTGTATAGAAATTATTTACATATTGTAAATATAAGTTCTTTGCCAGAGAAATGCAAGGTGAGAATTTTTTCAGGCTTACCAATTCATTTTTAAATGATGTCATTGTCTAGCAGTTATTTTAATTCTGATGACATCTGATTCATCGGTTTATCTCATCTGACTAGTTCTTTTCATGCCCTAGGAATTTTCTTTGCCTGCTCCAAGGGCATGGAGATTTTTATGAAATAATATTTTATGAAACATTTATGATTTTTGTTTTTATGCTTTTGAATATATATTTTTCAAAAATATTTTAATGAAATATTTATGGTGCTTTTATGTTAGGTCTATAGTCCATATGAATTAATATTTGTATGTGGAATGAGGCCAGGATCAAGCTTCTTTTCTTTCTTCTTCCATAGAGATACCCAGGTGTTCTAGCAACATTTGGGAATACTACTTTCCCCCAACTGGTTGACATGGGGCTTTGATCACAAAAAAAGGGGCTATGTATGTCACTCTATTAATCTACTTTCTATTTGGTATACATAGGATATCTATAAAGCTCATGTGCAATTTAGAATTGTTGTCTATTTTATGTGTCTTCTGCACCTATCACACTTTCATGGTTACTATCGCCTTATTGTAAACGTGAAGTAGGCTTCAGTTCTCCAATGTTGTTCTTGTTCAAGACTGTTCTGAGACGTCTAGATTGACTGCCTTTTCTCTTTGAAAATTTCTCCTGGGTTTTGGATTGGATCGCATTAAACATAGGCTCTCTAACATACAGCGTCCAGACATATACAGACTCTATAAACTACCCAGTGAATGAAGAATGGCTATCGTAATAATAATGAGTCTTCCAATCCATAAACGTGGTACATCCTTCCATTTTCTTGGATCTTTCCTCTCAGCAATATTTTATAATCTTCATAATAGAGGGCTTGAACATCTTCTGGAGAAATTATACTTTGGTAGCTTTATTTTTTAATGCTGTTGTAAATGGCATTTTAAACAAACCTCATTTTTCAAATGTCCATCACTATATTCCATGATCTTGCTCACCTCACTTAAGATCGCCAGTAATTTTTTTTCTAGATTTCAAATCTACATACAATTATATCCTCTGTCAAAACCCGTAGCTTTACTTATTCCTTTCCAATCTTTCTTTTTTTTTTTTTCAGGTTAATGTGAGGATACATACAATTAGGTTACGTTATTTGTGCTTATGAGGTAGAGTCCAAAGTCTGTGTCCTGGATGATCATTTCCAATCTTTAGATCTTCTGTTTTTATTTCTTCTTATCCCAACGTAATTGTCCCAAGCCAAAGCAGACCTCTTTACCTTGGTACTAATCTTAGGGGAAAGCAAAATGTTTCATTACTATCTACTAATTAATTATTACCTGTAGGTCTCTTACAAGTGTTCTTTATCAGATTAGGGAAGCTCATTCCTTTCCGCGCTCCATTTTCTTAGCGTTATTAATTCAGACACTGTTGAATTTTGTCACGTTTTTTAGTGCATTTATCGAGATAATTACATGGTTTTTCTATTTATTATACAGCGAATTGTTTTGATTGGGTAAAAAGTAATGTCAATTATTCTCTTATTAAACTGTTTCCCTGTCTGCCACGGCTTTCACTCCTCATTTTTGTTTGAGAACAGTTCTACCATGCTACAAAAAGCTAGAAACATTCTCCTTTGGCCTTTTTCTCTTTTAAACAATTTACAATCTTAATTTAACAACTCTGCGTGGCTCTCTGTTACTTTCCCCAACAATGGAACCTCTATCCCCGGAGGCCAGCTGAAAGCCTGGGGCAGAGCTGAGTGCCAGCGAGAACCCCGGGCCCTCCTATGCTCAGGCTCGCCTCGGGGAGCCCAGGTGACTTTGGGACTCACCTTAACCGGCTTCCTTCCTTTCCTCAGCCCTCCCCCAGCCCTTGCCCTTAAATGCGGGCGCTGCACCCCTGGGCGCCGGCGTCCTCACTCTTCGCCTCGCCCAGCTCCGGAGCGCGGCGCCCGCGGCCTGAGGGTGCGTGCGAGCGGCGCGGGCGCGACACTTCACATCCTGCAGGTCGCTCGGCCGCCTGGGAGTTCCCGGGGACCCGCGCTGAGCCCCTGGGCAGAAGGTCCAGGTAGCTTGGAGGTCACAGTCCGTGGGGCTGTACCAGGCAAGGCGCGGGGATTTCCCGCTGCGCCCCATCGCCCCCGCGGGACTCGCTGGAGGGGGCCTGGGTGGAGGAACCGGCACCCGCGCACGCTGCCGGGAGCGCCCCGAGACAGGGAGCTCTGCGATCGGAGCGCCCAGGACCCCGACACTCCCGGCCCCACCGGAGCGCTGCCTGCCGCCTTCACTGGCCAAGCACTTTTCCTTTCTTACTTTCTGTTCCTTTTTCTCTGTAGCCCTCTCTTGTTGCTGGGTCTCTATCCTGCCCCCCGCCCCCCAGCGGCGTCTCTCCTTCCAGGTTTCACAGTTGTGCGGGATCGCACTTCTCACCGGCTTTCGGAACTCGGCCTCCGCAGCCCAGACCCCAACTGAAGAAGGGGACGTCCCTTGGGAGGTAAGGACCGGCGCTGCCACCACCCGCACGGCCTCAGCGCCCTCTCTGCTCCCCCCACCCCCGCCCACCCTGGGCAAGGGTAGACCCGGCCTCCCAGACGGAAACAGACTAAGAACTGGGGAGACAGTAGCCTCACCTTTCCCTGATAGTGAGGTTACTACAGTCTCAGTTCCTTTCTGGAGACGTAAGAACAGCTAATGTAAGTGATAACAGCAGTTCTCATTGATTAAGTGCTTACTGTGTGTCTGACACTCTAGAAAACTTTCAGAGATATTATTTTCACTTAATCCTCCTCAGGGCCCAGTGATTTGGGAACCACTATCAATCTTAGTGAAAGAAAGGGGGAACAAAGCACCGAGAGGTTTAGTCAGTGTTCCCTGTTTTTGTATACTTCTAAAAAAAGTGCTGTTTACCCCGGCTGTACGTGCTGGGATCACCTCTGAAGTTATGAGAGTTCAGAATGCTCAACTTGTACTCCAGAGGGCTGGGACGGGCCCAGGCATCATTGTTGTTTTCCAAACTGTAGGTGAGAGCTAGTGTCCTGGAACAGCTAAAACATACTTTTCAAGATTTAAAAAGCATTAAAGTGGATTATGCAGATGTGCCAATGGCTCAGATAGCCATCTAGATTCTAAAGTTCAGAATATGGGCTTAATTCATTCATCAGTTTAACAAATAATAAAGAAACAAGTAGACTTGAAGTGAAAATCTGTCAGTTAGTGATAAGCGCTATGAATAGAAAAACAAAAACAAGCCGCGGGAGTAGGGAGAGAGTGGTGTGTGCCTGTGTTCTGCCCAGGCATGTGCTGTGAGATGGATTTGCCATGCCGTGTTTGGAGGGACCTGCCTATCAACCTGTTATCAACAGACTATAGAGGCAATACAGAACTATTCAATTAATGATAGAAAAATAATTAGTAGCTCTTTGGGAAAAGTAAGTTTAGCTAGGCCCCATCTTCACACCAAACGAGAAAATTGGTGGTGCAAAAAGTTAAAGGTAAAAAAACAGAATAACTATGCCATCAAAACAAAGAAAATACAATGAGCACTTATCAATATTTGACCACTGAAAGTAAAAATCCCAAAGCAAAATAGTGATTGATTTGTCGGTATCAATATAAAACCTTCCATTTGTTAACGCAGCAAAAGAGAGATTAAAAGTAAACTGAAGACCAAGTTGGTCGAAACACTAAATGTCTGAGAACTGGACAAAAGACATAAAGAGATGATTCATAAGCGTGGAAATAAAATGGCTAACAATACATGATTGATATTTGCCTCGTTCATGCCAAAGAAATGCAGATTCAAAAAACAGGGAGATACCATTTTTCCATTTTGACTACCTAGTTAGACTGGACAATGGACAATGCCCAGTGCTTTACTAAAGACCGTGGGTGAACACAGGCACTATTGAGGGAGGGTGTAAGAGTTATTGCAACATTTCTGGAATGCAGTTTTGCGGTGTGCATCTGTCATTTAAATACATTTAAAATGTATTCTTTGACTGAATCACTGTACTGCCACGTAATAGCACCAAGAAAATAATAGCAATGTAAACAAATAATAGCTAATAATTCTGTAGTATGTATGAGTCAACAGACACTTTGCAAAAATAATTCAAGCACCTTTCACTTCAGCTCTGGGAGAAGGTATTGTTATTCCTTTCTATGGACAAAGACATTGAGACACAAAGAGGGTAAGTGACTTGCCTGAGGTTGTTCAACTGGTAAAGGGGAGAACAGAGATTCAAATCCAGCCAGGCTGCCGTCAGAGCATGGTCCTAAAAACTGGGCCATTCTGCCTTACACATGAAGACGGTCATGGGGTTATTTCACTGTAGAATATATCTTATAAATGATAATATATCCATATGAAGTAATATTAGGTGGCAATCAAAATGGCATTAGCAACAATAGTGTTGTGACACAGGAGAATGCTCATTATACACTATAATATTAAGTGGAAGTGTAGGATGTGAGATGATTTAAACATTATCTTTATTATTTAGAATATATAGAAAAAAAGCATAAGAAAACATGCACAAGCTATTGAGAATGTATAGAAAGAGCACATACACACACACACACACACACACAAAAAAAACTCAAAGAAAACACATTAAGATTCTTTTAGTGTTCATTTGTAAACAACCTACATTGGGCATAAGAAAAGAAAAAGCATAAGAAAACATGCACAAGCTATTGAGAATGTATAGAAAGAGCACATACACACACACAAAAAAGAAAAAACGTTAAGATTCTTTTAGTGTTCATTTTGTAAACAACCTACATTGGGCAACAAATTGCTTTGGAAATAAGAAAAATACTAAAAAGGAAAGAAACAAAAGTTATGAAAAAGCAACATAAATGATATAAACAACAAACATAACACTAAAAAAAAAAACCACTTTAAGTTTCCTACACACTTGAAATTGAGTATTTATATTCTCCTACATCTATTTTATTAATACATGCTAAGGCATCTAAGACCTTTCTCAAAACAGCTCTTTTTCTGGAAATGAATTCATTATTTAACAAAATCTTAATCTCTTAAATGCACATGTAAAACTTAACAAGTATATTAAAAATGTTACATGCACACATACACACACACACACACACACACACAGAGTTGCGTGATTATCAGCTGGTTTGGGGAGACTGGATCTTAACATGTTTCATATTGAAGAGTTAACTTATCAGAATGCTGAATCATCTTGTGGCTTTAGTTCTCAGTAGACCTTGAAAATTTAAGAAGAAAAAAAAAAGTGATGCTCTTTGCAAGGCTCTGTCAACCTTAACCAGAGGAGTGACACAAAGGAAGTAACACTTTTCTTTCTACCCCAAAAACCAAAATAAAAGAATAGACAGAGTTAATAATAAAATGTGTGTGGGGAGCCACGGGGGAGGTTTCAAACCATAGAACTGTTGTAATTTGATTAAGAACGGTTGGTACTTTCCATACAGATTTATCCCTTTTGTCTTTACATTACTGATTAGTATCTCTTGGAAATTCCACCAAATATTTGGTGATGTTATTCATAAGGATAGATGCAAATCGTCTGGCAATTTAACCCTTAAACTTTATCCTGGATTTGGGTACTACAATGGTCCTTTTTTGAAGATGGGAAATGAGGTGCTCAGAGGGGAATTATTCTAGGCTGGGAGGCTACCAATCCCTCCAGAAGTCTGCTTAAACACTAGCTGCTTTCATCCCTCAATGAATTCTGCAGGGATGGTTCTTATCATCTCCACACTGGGAATTAGCAAACAGGCTATGAGACTTTTATGTAACTTGTTTGAGGTTGCAGAGCTTGTCAGGGCTCAAACTGGAATGCCCGGCCCAGGTTTGAGTATCCCTGAAACCAGACTCTTCCACCATGCTGAGTCCCCTCCTCCTAATCCAGTTCTTCAAGGAATATGGGGTTACTTATGAAATATTCAGATTGAGTGAAGGTCTCCACTGAGGGGGAGACTTCTTCCTTTTTGCCCTCTGAAGTTGTAATTAGAACAGTGAAAGCTAGGTTGTGATAGGATCAAAGTTAACACAGATCTTAGTCACAGTGGGTCACAGCCTGGAGAGTAGGGTGTGCTAAGTGGATTTTAGTGATACAGCGATGAGCAAAATAGACTTAGTTCCTAGACTTATGCAACCTATGTTCACAAGAAGGAAGGTGGATTTAAAAAAATTCAACCCACAAATGAAGATCTAATTACATACAGATCATGATGAAATTTTGATGTGAACACACACACACATACACACACATTCTTACATGTGTAGAACTGCTGTGCGTGTCTCAGCATGTCAGAGTTTATTCATAGATTGATAGATTTTCTAGGAATACTATTGTCCTCAACTTGGACTTGGAGATAGGATTTAGCAAACCAGGCCTAAAATTCATCAGGCTCTGTTGTATTAGAAAAATGAATTATTAGGGGCTTCTTCTGAAAGCCAAAATCCATTGCCTTGAATTTTTATTACTTTGCAATGGCTGAAAGTTCTGAGAATTTGTGACTAAATTAAGAAATATGAAGATCTTCTGGGGATTTTTTTTTAAGTTTGCGTGCAGAACATTTTTTAATTTTTATTTATTTTGAGACAGAGTCTCAAGCTGTCACCCTGGGTAGAGTGCCGCAGCATCACAGCTCACAGCAACCTCAAACTCTTGGGCTTAAGCGATTCTCTTGCCTCAGCCTCCCAAGTAGCTGGGACTACAGGCACCCGCCACAACACACGGCTATTTATTTTTGTTCCAGTTATCATTGTTTTAGCTGGCCTGGGCTGGATTCGAACCTGTCAGCTTTGGTGCATCTGGCCAGTGCTCTACCCACTGAGATACGGGCACTGCCCCAGAAGATTTTTTTTAAATGTTTAGGTAGCATAAAGATAGGTATGCTTGGCTCGGCGCCTATAGCTCACCCGGCTAAGGCGCCAGCCACGTACACCTAAGGTGGCGGGTTCTAATCCCCCGCCTGGACCTGCCAAACAACAATGACAGCTGCAACCAAAAAATAGCCGGGCGTTGTGGCGGGCGCCTGTGGTCCCAGCTACTTGGGAGGCGGAGGCAGGAGACTCGCTTGAGCCCAGGAGTTGGAGGTTGCTGTGAGCTGTAATGCCACGGCACTCTACCCAGGGGGACAGCTTGAGGCTCTGTCTCAAAAAAAAAAAAAAAAAGATAGGTATGCTTATAATTGAAAACTTCATTGAATCTGTCTTATTCTGTTTTCCAGAGAAACCATTTAAATCAGAATCCTAAGCATGTATAGCGGAGCATTATTCTTGATACTCTGGGCATTTACGTTTATAAGGACCTCAGGTAAGTGTTTATAAAATTTCACAAACGTACTTCATTAACAATCTAGAAGGAATCTTGAAGTTTTGGGGGTTTGTGCGGTGTTGCTCCTGAAGTTGCTGAATTTATTGAAATAAATGATTTGAAGTTTTATTTTGCAAAGTTGCCAACCATTTGGTATTCCTGGCATAAAGACAGAAAGATAGAAAGTAAAGAAGCCGCATATGGTATTGTTGAAGAAGAAACGATCCCACCCTCTGATTTTTATAAGAGAGAGCAGGATGTAAAAACTGGCATCTTGAAATAATTCACATTTGCCAGAGATGGAAATTTTGTTTCATGTCATTTGAAACCCAGGAGGTAACAGGCATCTTTGTCATTGATTTTTTAGAAAGTTTTTACACAAACTGCCTCCTTTCCGAGAGGAAGCCAAACTTGCATCTTATTGGTTAGATAATGAGAAGGAAAGTAAATGGAAAATACCTTATGGATCCTTTTAAAAAATTAGAGTTACAAGGAATATACTAAAAAGAAGATTGATTATGCCAGGGAGCTCCAGTAGGCTTCATAGCAAGTATCAAATACAACTTTAACTTATTAGGAGTGATTGCTTGGAGGTGTTGTCTTTTGTTTTGAGAAAGATTCTGAGGCCCCCTTCCGTAGTGGAATAGCAAGATATTCCTTAGGAGGAGAAAGATCTATTAGCTAGGAGAGAGAATCACATGGGGTCATGTCTCCTACTCTGAGAATTACTGCCAAAGAGCAGAATTATGATTTGATATTTTCAGATAATACAGGTCAAAATCTTGGGGGCTATATACATCAGTGAATCTATGTATTGTTGAGAAAGAAACAAAGGTAATACTTTCTTCTTCTTTTTTTTTTTTTGAGACAGTCTCAAGCTGTCACCCTGGGTAGAGTGCCATGGTGTCATAGCTCGCAGAAACCTCAAACTCTTGGGCTTAAGCAATTCCCTTGCCTCAACCTCCTAAGTTGCTGGGGGACTACAGATGCCTGCCACAATGCCCGGCTATTTTTTGGCTGTAGTTGTCATTGTTGTTTGGCAGGCCCAGGCTGGATTTGAACCTGCCAGCTGCGGTGTATGTGGCTAGTGCCTTAGCTGCTGAGCTACAGGTGCCGAGCCAAGATATTTTCTTCTTGATGTGGAATGATCTGTCAGAGAGCACTTAGTGAAAAAAAACAAGGTACAGGAGGACATGTGTAATGGGTCCTCTGTTCTCTGGATTCACACTAATGACCTTGCTCCCGGTCAGCATGTATCAGGCACAGAAACAGTTACACAGCCTCCTATGTAAGGTGAGTGAAGTCTCAGATCCCTCTTCTGTCCTTCAAAGAACTTGTGGAGAGCACTTTCCACAAGTGGTTCACTCTAGGCAGATACTGGTAGTGTTCCATGTGTAGGATTGATATGACCTAGTTATATCTAGGTGACGACACCTTATTAATTGTCCAACAGCAATTTCAAACACATTCCAAAGAGCATAGGTTTTAGGCCCTGGGGGGGCTCTCACATTCTGGTTAGAGAATAGTGGGGGTGCCTGTCCTGCTATTTTGAGCACCACACTCTAGTCATTTCTCCAATCAAATAAGATTTCTAGCAAGCATTATGTTAATGAATAAAGCCTCTGATGGCAAACATAAGATTAGATATACCAGGTGCCTGGAAAGTGTGAACTTTCATTGCCAACCACCCACTGCTGGAGAGTATGTATTTCACTTTAGATTTTTTCAAATGATAGTTATCTCAAAAAAAAAAAAGAATGAGTGCATACATTCGTCAAAGTACAGCTGCGTGTTTATAGAAGCTTTTTAAAGATTAACCAAAACCTGGAAATAACTCGACTGTCCAATAAACATTTGTTCCATGGCCCAAATCCTAATAGTTATTCATTTATAGAATGGCTAAATGAATAGTCAAGTAATAACACAATTGGATAGTACATAATGATGGGAAGAGAACACGCCACTGAGAGTGTCGCAGCACGGATGCCCATCACAGCATAATAATATTCAAAAGAATCCAGACACGAAAGAGCATATATTGTACGATTTGTGTGTTAATACCTTGTTATGTTATCATAAAACAGGAAAATAAACTGTTATCGACTTACCATAGTTTTGAAGGTCAGTTGAAACTAATACCCACGTAATACACATATAGCTCACATACTATGCTGAGATATTGACACATAAAATAGAGGTTGGTAACAAGCAGTAAACATAAGGCTGATGCTTGTGAACTCTTGTGCTATAACATAAATTTGTCATCCATGTTTTCAAAGGATGCTTCCACCATTCGAGCCACTTCCTTTTTATGTTGTGGTTAACAACACTGAGTTAAAACCAGACTGTTGCTTTGAGAAATAAATCTCAGCTGTAGAGAGGGCATTTCATCCAAGACCTCAAGAAAACGTTTCATTCCGTGTAAAGATTCTCATTCTCAAAATGCAGTACACTCTGGAACCACTGGAAGCAAGGAAGTGAGAAAAGCCCATTAATACTGACCTTGAACTGCCAGAGGTACAAAAGCAGGAGGAATAGCATCTGCCCTGTGTGAATGACAGGACATTTCCAAAGCCAGAGAGTCTGGATTCCCTGGGAAGGAGGGAGGAAGAGAGAGAGCTCAGGGAAGGAAAATGACAGAGGCCACAAACTGGACTGATACTATGTTAGTCAATTCTTGATCATCCACTGGGGACTATAGCAATGGCACACTCCCTAACCCACATAGGCACACCTTTCATCATCTCACACCTGCTAGGGACTGGTTGGGTAGACTGGCCCAGCACCAGATAGGTGAGATTTCTGATGATCCAGCTGGAGAACACCACAGTCGCTACGTTTGTTTTGTTTTCCATAGAGACTGTGGATGTTTTGGGGTTTAGGTGTGGCAACACCGTCACTTCTGTGGCTTTCCTTATGAAGAAATTGTAATGTGTAATGTTTACTGGTAAAAGATGGCACCACTGTTAGCTGTCTTCTTGCTATCGCAGATTATATTCTAATACCTTTCTGTTTGGAGGAAGCTGTTGGAAGTTGTGTTTTCATCTAAGTTCTGAAAATGTCTCATGCCTTCTTGGGTTAAAGAAAAACTGACGTTAAAATAAGGGAACCCGCAGGAAAATGATTCAAGAGTTCTCAGGACTTTCTTGCTAATTGTGCTTATTCACCTGAGGAGAGGAATAATAACCTTTGTCATTTTTTTTTCTTTTACTTTGCTTATCTCTTGAAGAAGACTGTACTTCACGTTCTAACATCACTGCAGTGGAAGGTGAACCTTTCTATCTGAAACATTGCCCCTTTGTGCCTGCGCGTGAGAATGAAACCGCCACCAAACGATGGTGGTATAGAAGCAATGGGTCACACAAACGTGTGGAGCTAAACCCAGCAACTTCACCCAGAATCACTTTGTGGGATTATGTTTTAGAGTTTTGGCCAGTTGAGTTAGACGACAGGGGAGAGTACTTTTTCCAAAAGGGGTAAGTATACCTTGTCTTGGAGTTAGAATATATTTTATGGCACTATTGGCCTTTGTCCAGCAACTCAAATATACAGTAATCTGAAAGGTCAGATGACCCATGCACATTTTTATCTCTTCACGCTTCCTATGACATTGAATAAATACTTCATCATTGAAAAAATATGTTCATCTCCTCATGGTTATTTTCCTAGTGATATGAATGAAAGATGTTATCTTGATAGGATTTCCTTTTAGGGAATTCTTGTCAATGATAAGCGAAGATTGAATGTCAGTTTTAAAATTCAGCTGTCCCTGCTGTCTAGACCCTTTGGTCAAATGAAATCAAAGGCTTGAATTTTGTAATACCGTGTAATACTGTAAAATCAACATGTCTGGAGCAGGGGGCAGTGTCAGTTTCGTGGGTGGTATCTCCATGCTGGGGAGGAGGATTGGGAGTGATGTAGGCCCACCCTAGGCTGGTTTGCAGGGTACCCTGGGAGCCAGGTGGCAGTGCTAGTGGAGATGTGTGTTTGGCAGCCAGTCAAGCCCACAGCCAGGGGCAGTGGGGGTTGGGAGGACATGGGTAGGGTTTTGCAATCTACACTTATGAGGTGGGCCTAGATTCTGCTAGAATAGTCATAACCAAGTGGCATAACCTCTATGAAATGAGAGCAACCGTTTACAGCATCAACCATTGTGACTGAACTTGGTTCTTTTTATACATATCTACCTACCTAAGCATGTATTGTTATAGAATACCGAGACTGACTATAGGAAATGTCTCAGGGCCAGCTGAGTGGTGCTGGTGTGCTGTTAGCCCCCCAGATGAGTCCTGATCATTATCAAGCGTGCCATTGAGGGCAGAGTGAGATATCCCAGTGGTTGCTATCACCCCTGTGGTTTCATACAAAACTAGGTCAGAAAGAAATTAATGAACTCATTTTTTAAATGATAAGTTGTATGTGACTTTTTAAAAGAGAAAAGGGTCACAACTGGTCACATCTGTGACTAGTACTTGGAGATGTTAGAGAGAGAGAGAAAGCATTGGCCACCTCTCTGATATGCAGAGTGGAGAATACAGGCTAAGTAAAGGAGCAGAAGAGGAATCATTGTATAGAGGTAGGTCCCAGCAAGGAGAAAGGGTAGCAGGTAGGAGAGTGAGCCCTCATCCTGTAACAGCTGTGGGACCTTGGGAATATTGTTTAACCTCTCTGAGATTCAGTATTTGCATCTGAACGTAAGGAAAATAGTCATCTTCCTTACACATACATACTACAATACCTGAACCTCAGTGAGTGCTCGTCTTGTCTTCCTTCCATCCTATTGTAGACTTGAAGGAGAACTGGAAGTGTCCAGAGTGAGCACAAATTTGTTCCAGGCACTCAGGAAACTTAACAACACATCTGCTGTATTTAGTATATGCATCTAGATACCATAAGTGCAGTGTAAGGGAACGTCCGATTGCAAACATTTTGTCTTTAAACGTATCATTCACTTTTTTCCTTTCTCCAGATTATTTTCTGATTAGAAGGAACAATTGTAAAATTTATTCAAACTCACTTCCGTTCAGTAAAACATTTAAAGTGCTAACACAGTTTTGCTGAGGGCAGCAACTCCAGGCTTCAGCTTCCTCAACAGTAAGAGAAGGGGTTTGGAATGTACTGCCTTGAGAAATATAAAACCTAAAACATATACCCACACACATACAGAAAACAGTAACAGGAGTGTGTTTACAGGTTTCATGAAACCAAGGCCTTTCCCCATCATCCTGGGCTAAGACCTTCTGAACTTGTTTAATTACCATAGATGACTGAAAATTTTTTTTGATTGAAATTTTAAGCAATTTGCTGTTTTGACCTCTATGATATGGTCTACAATAGGGTGAGTGTGTGTGTGTGTGCATGTAGATTGCTCAGGTTTTTACCTCTTACTTTCTGACCCCTACCCCACGACAGTTACATTTCTTGCTGCTCTGAACCAAGAGGAGGCAGAGTAGACTTTGGACATCAGTGAACCAATCTCTTTATACAAAAATAAGGGGGAAACCATGTCACATTGGTTACTAAAGGGAAGGTGGGGGATATTTGCAAAGTGTCTGTGGTAGTTTTAAAATAACTTTTACACCTTTATTCCATAGAAACGATACTCGGGGATGGCAGTTAAACATAATCAGAAGAGATAAACACAGCTGTTTCACTGAAAAAGAAGTAACTAGTAAAACTGTGGAAGTCAAAAAGGCTTTGGAAATAACCTGTGAAAATAGACACTATCAAAACCGGATCAACAGCACAGCCTTGTATAAGGTACTCCTTTTCAAATTTTTTAACTTAAGACTTGAAAGAAAAGAAAAAATTCCAAAAGGAGGGGTTAAAGTCTGTGGACCAATATAGTCTTGTAACAAATAAGCTGTTTGACTCCAGACAGCTCAGCAGGCCTCAGTATCCTCACAGGATTGTCATAAAAAGCTGTTACCTAATGTAGGTACCATAGTAATACCCTGGATTTGTGTTCAAGAAATGATAATGGCTTCTGTTCCCCTGTCCTTCCTTCATTTTTCTTCTCTTTCATTACGTAAATTTTGGGGAGTGCTAGTTTAAGGATTTTCATTTTTCTCCTGTCTCATGTACCTAACATTTTAAAAATGCCACTGCACATAGTTCTTCTAAATATCTTAGTTGATTTTATAAAATTGGAAGGTGAAAAAACAAAGAATGAAGAAAGTACAAATTACTCATAATCACAGCAGCCAGAGATGCTGGCTTTTTTCTCCTTGTGTAAAAATCAACTTTAAGAAAATAGTATATTTTGATGTGGGTGCAGTGGCTCATGCCTATGATCCCAGCAGTCTGGGAGGCCAAGAAGGCAGAATCATGAGCTTGAGCTCATGACCAGCCTGAAGAAGAACAAGACCACATCTCTAAAAAATAGCCAGGCATTATGGCAGGTGCCTGTACTCGGGAGGCTGAGGCAAGAGGATCCCCTGAGCCTAAGAGTTTGAGGTTGCTGTGAGCTGTGGCACTATGGCACTCTACCAGAGGCAAGACAGTGAGACTCTGTCTCAAAAAAAAAAAAAAAGTATATTTTGAGGTGGTTATAGTGGCTCATGCTTGTAATCCTAGCACTCTGAGAGACCAAAACAGGTGGATTGTTTGAGCTCAAGTGTTTGAGATCAGCCTGAGCAAAGGGAAGATCCCATCTCCACTAAAAATAGAAAAATGGGCCTGGCACATTGGTGGGCACCTGTAGTCCCAACTACTCAGGAGGCTGAGGCAAGAGACTCACTTGAGCCCATGAATTTGAGGTTGCTGTGAGCTATGATGATGCCACAGCACTCTATGCAGGGCAACTGGGAGTGAGACTCTGTCTCAAAAAAACAAAAATTCATTTTATTATGTGTGTCTTTTGTTTATCCACTAAAAATTATATTGCATTTATTCCCCCACATCTTTAAATATTCTTTAAAATGTGGGATCCCATTTTGCATGTGCCTGGTTACATCCAACTAATCCCTCTGTTCTTGAACATTTATAAATCTCCTATTTTGCAATATTATTTAAGAAATGAAATGAGTGTTATTCCCATAAATCTTTGGGTTTTTATATGGTTTTTCCTTAAACCAGATTCCTAAATATAGAATTACTGGCTCAAAGGCTATGAACATGTCTATAAGGCTTTTGATCCATATTCTCAAACTAGGCTCTCCCAAGAGCTATGCTGGATAAGATTCTACACCTGATAAAAAATGTAAGCAGGCAAACAAACAAACAAAAACTCAGCCACAGAAAATTTTTGAAAGTCCTAGTGGTTTTTTTTTTTTCATTTCTCTTCTTAATAGTAAATTAAACATTTCCCTGTATTCGTTGTATCTACCTTTGTAGATTGCCTGCTTTTTTTCTTTCTTTCTTTTTTTTTTTTTTGCAGTTTTTGGCCAGAGCTGGGTTTGAACCCACCACCTCTGGTATGTGGGGCTGGCACCCTACTCCTTTGAGCCACAGGCGCCGCCCTCTTGATTTTCTTTAGTTGGCGTGTCTTTTACTTGTTGAGCTGTGAGATCTCTTTTAGACAATGCTATGGAGATCGTACATACACATATTTGTGTGTGTATACGGAGAGCGCATGTTTGTGCATTAAAATATACACACTCACACTCTGCACACACAGCCCAATCTATGTGATGTCTGTAGAACAAATCTGGGTGTGTGAATCTGTCAGGGGAACTTTGAAGCACTTTGAGAACGGATGATCTGAACAGAAGGACTTGGGGAAACTCAGGCAACCGATGATGATTTCCTTGAAACTGTTGTTTGTACGTTTTGCTGAAACGCTGTTTACTTGTGTTTTTTTCAAAGAGAGCTCTTATTTGAAATGTTTTCCAAACATATGAGTCAGTCCTGAGTTGACTCGACTCTATTTCCTGCCAAACGTACAAATCTTTCATAGCGCATGTAAATTTTTGAGGTTCAGGGTACTGGGTTTTAAGAAATTTCAACAGGCAGATATTTAAATTTAGAAAAGAGGTGTCCCGAGGATGTTTTTAGTAATAGCTCAATGGCTGACCACTGCACTACGTTTTGTAACCTGTTGACTGGTCATGACCTACCTGAGAGGAAGGGAGCAAGGAAGCTAAATTAGTAAACAACTGAGTGGAAATGAAAATGAAGAGTCTCTGACCTTTTTATGTATCTTGGAAAAAACCCAGTTTGGGTTTATAAAAATTTGACTTTCATGTAAACAGTTTACTTCTGTGAGGTACACCTGTGGGTGCCTTCAGAACCGTTCTAGATACTGGGTCGAGACTCAGTGGCTACCAGCTTTGAGGGAGAGGAGGCTCTCCCTGTTTGGTGCTGCAGGAACAGAGTTGAATGATCAAGAACAGCTAATCAGCTTCCATTTTTCCCATCTGGTCCCTGGCTTGATAGGATGGTTTGAAGAAGGTGGCTGTATTTATTATTATTAATTTCTGTGACATATATGTACACGGAAATTTGTGTGTGTGTGAGGGAGAGAGAGATGTTTGAGTGTGCCTTTGGAATTGAAAAGTTTTGCTGCACTTCTAATCAGTGCCTCTGGCTTCTGGCGGAGGACGTCATATCACACCAGCTGGATTGTCTGCTAGGTACTCAGTTCTCTGAGCAATTCTGCTCCTACCTACTACTCACCGGCAGTTTGGGTATTCCTGAGTACATGAGAAAGGACC